TGCTGCGTGTAACCTGTCCGGTCCGGGGTGACCGGCGGTCGGGCCGCTGTGCAGTGACGTCAGCACACCGGTCACGAGAGATCGCGGAATCACCAGCTGCAGCTGAAACTCATCTCTCGCCCTCCTGCGGTACTTTCGGTACAGGACACCGTCAAGAAGGGTCAGTCTGGACCACTGCCTCAGCAGGGGACGCAAGGACCTGTCGACACTGCGGCGATGTGGACGCTGTCCCGAGGAAAGATGCTTCACGATCTCTGAAATTGTTGCGTCCTTACCTTGCTCTTCTTTCATGAAACTGGTGGACCACAGACTCGCATTGATCTGATGGCACCGCGCTCCCTCAGTCTGCACGCCTGCGTCAGCTGTGCTCTCGGGGCGCCGGCTCAGACCATCAGCTGCTGTATTAGTGGCCCCCGGGCGATAAGAAATGTCAAACTGATAATTGCCCAAAACTTCAAACCACCTGGCTAGCATGCCGGTGGGGTTCTTAAAGTTCAATAACCACTGCAGACTACTATGATCAGTACGTAGTTGAAATCTCGCTCCCTGAAGGTAGTGGTTAAAATGTTGCACAAAATGAACACACGCTAATAACTCACGCTTCGTGGTAGAGTAATTTCTCTGTGACTTTGACAGCGTCTGGCTGCCGTACGCGACTGGACGCTCGACACCATTCTGCACCTGTAGCAAAACGGCTCCCATACACTCTCCACTGGCGTCCGTCTCCAAAATGAATGGACCTGCCTCTGAATCAAAACGCGGAAACGCAAGCACTGGTGACTCGCATAAGGCCTTTTTCAATGAATCAAAAGCAATTTGAGCGCTGTCCGACCATTCAAACTTTTGATCCTTAATCGTGAGGCGGAACAGCGGCGCTGCAATATCCGCAAAGTTCTTAATGTACCGTCTAAAGTACGAAGCTAGCCCAAGAAAACTGGACATCTCCTTGGCTGATCTGGGCACAGGCCAGTTACGCACCTTGTCCACTTTGACAGGATCGGCCTTGATACCCTCCCCTGACACTTCATGTCCCAGATAGGTGACCTTTTTCCGGAAAAACTGACACTTTTTCAAGTTCAAAGTCAACCCCGCATCCATGAGACGACTCAAAACACAATCCAGTGACTCCAGAACACTCTGAAAGGTTGACCCGTGCACAATGATGTCATCAAAGTAACTGACACATTTTTCCGGCGCAATATCCCCTAACACTATGTTCAGCAGCCGAGCACAGCTCGCTGGCGCTCCTGCGAGACCAAAACAAACCCGTGTGTACTGCAGACACGAGAAAGGTGTCACGATCGTTGCCTTTTCTCTATCCTCCGGTGCAATTGACATCTGATGGTAAGCCGAGTTCATATCAAGGGTACAAAATAGCGACGATCCCGACAGCGCGTCTAGCGTATCATCTATTCTGGCTATCGGATAAGCGGGGACTCGAGACACAGAGTTCAATCGACGCAAATCGGCCACTATTCTCGCCGACCCGTCCTTCTTGCGAACCACGCAAATTGGCGACGCCCACGTGCCCTCTGACTCCTCTAGGATCCCCTGTCTGACTAACTCGTCTAACTGAGCCTTCACCTCCTCTTTGAGGTGCGGCGGAATTCTGCGTGGGGCCTGTCTGATCGGAGGGCTGTCACCCGTATCGATACGGTGCTCCACCAGAGTGGTGTGGCCCACGTGACCATCGAACATTGACTCGTACTTTTTAAGGACGCGAAAAAGGGCAGCTCTCTGTGATGACGTTATATCTACTCCCTCTAAGTTCACTAATTCTTCCAAGTTCACAGACTCTTTAAGCTCAGACTCTTTTACTTTAGGCTCCTCTGAAAACCCTACCTCTAACTGAGCCAGCTCAGCGTGCTTGGGTACAGTAACAAACCGATCAGAGTTGTTTCGCAATACTAATGGAACGCTCGTGCCAGACACTTCCACTATGCTCCTCACAACCTCTAATCCCGGTTTATCCCAAGAAGGTTCAATCAGAGCAGAACCCCTGTAGTCACAATTGTGAGAAAATCCACGAACCACCGTCTCACTACCGGGCGGAACGGTAATATCTTTGCCCAAAACCACGGTTCCTACAGTCACTGCCTCCGCTGAAACAGATCGAACTGCCTCCGACGGCACAAAGCTCAGGCATTTCCGCTGCAGATCTATTACACAGGGTTGCACGTGCTGAAGGAAATCAATGCCAAACAGGCAGGGCACATCAATCACATCCGACACATAAAAGGGAACAGTCTTTTGTACGCGACCTATCTGAACGGAAAGGACAGTTCTCCCTAGGAGAGGCAACTGTTCCTGCGCGGCCGTCCGCGCCCGTGTCGCTGTCATGCTCATAGTGGCGTTCGGTAAAGCATCAAACACTGCCTTATTAATGATACTTATCGTCGAGCCCGTATCCAACAAACAATTACACTCAACCCCACAGATCCTAGCCGGGAAAGTCATATCTGGGTTGAGCTGTACGCTGTCACCAGCATCATTTACTGTTCGGGTGGTGCCGCGGGACCCGGCCTCGGGCTTCGACCTGGGCCCCGGTCGGCGTTTCCCGACGGAGCTTGGCACACGGCTGCCAGGTGTCCCTTCTTACCGCACGAGTGGCAGGTGCTATCACGAAAACGGCATCGGGACCGCACGTGATCAGCACCACCACAGGCCCAGCAGGCGCGCGCCGGCGCCTCGTTTGACCGGGACGGCTGCGACCCGCGGCGCCGTCCGGTCCGCTCGGGGCGTCCGGGGCCGTCCAGACGCCGCTCGAGCTGCTCGATGCGATCGAGTATCAGGCGCAACATCGGCGCCTGCACCTCTACCTGACGCACTGACGCGCTTCGCAGCACCTCAGCGCTGCGGATATTGCTCACCTTTTGCACGGCGGCCGGGAAATCAGTAATTCCCGCCATCACAATCTCTGAGCGATATTTCTCGGGGACGGCTGACAGAAAGTAGTTAAAAAGTAGACCATCAGTCGGCTGATCTGGGAAGGAGCGCCTTACCAGAGACTTAAACCGCACAAGGAACTCGTCCAGAGACTCGGCGGGGTCATACTTTAACTCGGTCAGACGAATGTGCGCGTCGATTGTGGTCCCCACTGTGAACGTTTCCCGCAAACCATTGAAAACGCTGTCCAGGGATCCCTTCTGACTCGAGCTCAGAGCATCATAAGCATCCCGTGCAATGCCTTCTAGGGTCAGTGGCAGAAAAGCCAGCTGCTGGTCCACATCCCAGCCCTGAAGCCGACCAAACGTTTGAAAATCCTCACGGAAACGGGACAACGAGCCCTTCCCACCGAAACGGGGTGCCGGTACAATAAAAGAACTCATTTTAAATTCCTGCTTAGGTACCACATTAACTGGTTAGCCAAACCTGACCTGGCTTTACAGTGAACTCTAATATCATTTCCATTGCGTATTCACTTGATTTTTCGCACATTGTTCTGACACCACTACTGAATTGTTCATTGTCAACACTCAAAACACAGTTCACCGACCCCGAAATCCCAGTTCCCCAGGCACAGTACCGTGAGTGCAGTGACAGCCAGTCCTCTCCATCCGGCGCCTTGCTTGCTGCTCCTCGAATCAGCTGACGCCAGCTGACGCGGTCCAGTGCAGCGCCAACGGGCCGCAGAGCTGGGCAGAGCTCCGAGCCGAGTCGCGGTGGGCGATACGGCCGGCTGGTGCCGATCACCAGCAGCGAGGAGGTCGGACGCCAATCGCTATGGCGGTGCCGACTCGTCACTCGCTCACCCCTCGCGCACCAAATCACTGAGCACTGGCACTGCACACGGAACTCGCAGGCCGCAGCAGCGCGACGGCTGGGCCGAGATCACCGCAGGCCACTGCGCACTGATCGCTGTCTCTCAGCCTCCTCACGGACGTCACCTCCATCACAGCTGATACTGCAGGTAGCCGGTACCACGAAGATTGAAGCAGGGAAAACAGCGCAGTCCAGGACTAGGCTCCTCTTGCTTCGATAGCCCTGGGCTGGTCGAGCTCCATGACGGCTCGTAACTGGTCCATCTTGCGATGATCTTGATGAATAAATGTGTTGCAGCAACGGCGCTCAGTCGACACTTTCAAAGCCAAGTGGACCGAGGATCGACCGTAGCACAGCTCAAGAAGCGGAGCTCAGTGCTAGCGGGAACAGACGACACTGCTGGACAGTCGCCGTGCAGCGGCCAACATGTCGCAGTCTTCAGTCGGGACAAAAGGCAAAGTCGACCGACCTTACCGGCTAACTGACAACTCGTCAGAGTATTGCAGAGCCGGAAACCCAACAGCAGACATCTTGTACTGGCGATAGCTGCTCCGAAGATTTCAAACAGTCAGTTGAAAACTTGATTTCTTGAGGCCGCGAAAGCCGAGGACGTCGGTTCGGGCTCCAATCTTCATTTCGACTAAGTCGATCCCACCGCTGCCACCAAATGTAAACCCGTGTTTACTGAAGGTGAACCGACATAATCAAAAGTGAAGAACATTACATTGTATTTAGCTTTAGGTTACATTTTAACAGAGCCAGGAGCACAACCTCACTCCTTGAGCTCTCGATCCAGACTCCCCGCCCACAGTCAGCCGAACACCTGCCGTGATCAGCTGAATGGGCGAAAACATAGTGCACCATGAGATGCTCCGATCGCGGCATCCGCTATATAAAACATTATACTAATTGATCAGTAAAGCCGCTGAGCATGAACAAGAGTGTTAACCATTCTAATAATATGCCGTACATAATAAAAACATTTAATTGCAGTATCTAGGACAGCTTCGAGTTCATACCTGAAGCAACAATTGAATAGCAGACGATCACGCGCAAAACCGTTGAATTAAATTCCTGTCCAGACATCATATGGTCACCGGGCTCCTCTCGCCGGTGAAACAGATAAACTTTAATCGGCGCAAAGCTTGCCGATTACATATATATATATATATATATATATATATATATATATATATACCGCCAGTCACCATCGCCAACCGGTAGTAACTCACACTCACTGAGGAACTGTGCGTTGTGCGCGTGTGTCCAGACGTGCCACTCGACGGCGGCGCCGCGCGGCAGGCCCGGCACGACCACGGCGCACTGCAGCGAGGACGCCAGGCGGGCCGTCATCAGCGCCGAGCAGGCCGGCAGCAGTGACGGGTCGGTGACGTAGCACACCGTCTGTCAGCGATGAACGGTCCGGTCAGGTCAGCGGTCAGGTCAAAGGTCTGAGAAAATAATAGCGGACTGATAGTGACAAATGTTGTGGCAGGTTTTATGTCATCGTGCTTAATTGAACTAGTAGGGGTTGGGAGTTAATTATAATCATGTAATTATTGATAGCAGTTTACTGGAAGCCATGACACCTGGGTAACGAAATAATCGCACAGTCACCTGCAAGTCCACCTTCGCAGATCATTTAAGCATCATAATTCAGCTGACTGTTAGACCACTGACCAGTCACACAAGCATACCCTCTCTTTCTTGCCAAGTGCTATGTCACCTTGTCCTCAAGCCCCGATCCCGTCCCGCCCGGAGTCTGAGCTCTGTATCCCGTCCCGCCCGGAGTCTGAGCTCTGTATCCCGTCCTGTCCGGAGTCTGAGCTCTGTATCCCGTCCCGCCCGGAGTCTGAGCTCTGTATCCCGTCCCGCCCGGAGTCTGAGCTCTGTATCCCGTCCCGCCCGGAGTCTGAGCTCTGTATCCCGTCCCGCCCGGAGTCTGAGCTCTGTATCCCGTCCTGTCCGGAGTCTGAGCTCTGTATCCCGTCCCGCCCGGAGTCTGAGCTCTGTATCCCGTCCTCCCAGGAGTCAGCTCTGCAGACCCACCACCCCTGCCTACCCACCTGTACGACGGTGTCGGTGTCGGCGTCGTTGGAGGAGGCCTGGATCACCCTCTCCACATGACGCAGCGCCAGCCGGGCCTGCTGCTCACCGCCGCGCACCAGTCGCATACTGGCCGGGTCCAGGCCGATCATACCGGCCACGTATAGTACCTCACCACACTGGGGGAGGGTCAGTTATATCACACCGGGACAGGCCGATCATACCGGCCACGTATAGTACCTCACCACACTGGTGGAGGGTCAGTTATGTCACACTGCGGGTCAGGGCCGATCATACCGGCCACGTATAGTACCTCACCACACTGGGAGACGGGTCAGTTATATCACACCGGGTCCAGGCCGATCATACCGGCCACGTATAGTACCTCACCACACTGGGGGAGGGTCAGTTATATCACACCAGGACAGGCCGATCATACCGGCCACGTATAGTACCTCACCATACTGGGGGAGGGTCAGTTATATCACACCGGGTCGATCATACCGGCCACGTATAGTACCTCACCACACTGGGGGAGGGTCAGTTATATCACACACCGGGTCCAGGCCGATCATACCGGCCACGTATAGTACCTCACCACACTGGGGGAGGGTCAGTTATATCACACCGGGACAGGCCGATCATACCGGCCACGTATAGTACCTCACCACACTGGTGGAGGGTCAGTTATGTCACACTGCGGGTCAGGGCCGATCATACCGGCCACGTATAGTACCTCACCACACTGGGAGACGGGTCAGTTATATCACACCGGGTCCAGGCCGATCATACCGGCCACGTATAGTACACTCGGGGGCAGATTGATGTTCCACAACTCTTTATCCACCGGGTTCCTATGGCTCAGCATTGGCAGCAGCCGCCTGGTACCGGTAGACTGTGCCGCTTCACTTACTTGTCAAGCGGCACAGCCTACCCACACCGTATGACCACGGTCTGGGTCGGTGGCTGGAAGGCGATGTGGGCCGCCTGTGACGTCAGCGCAGCGGTGAGGGCCGAGCCTGGAGGCATGGCTCGGGTCGGCGCGGCGCGGCGGCTGGCGAGGGCTGGGGAGGGAGGCGGGGTGGGAGCATGGACCATCGCGCGGTTGAGCGAGTGTAGTTAACCCGCGCGGGGCTGGGGTCCCCAGCCGAACGCGCGGGGCTGGGGGGGGGGGGTAAATTTTACCCCCCCCCCCCCTGTTATCTCCCGAACTAATGGTCCGATTTGGAAAATTCAAACGCCAATCGAAAGCTCTCATCACGAACTACTAAAAACATGTACTTAATTTAAAGTTTGAGGTCAAGGTCAAGGTCAGGTCAAGGGTACAAATTGCAAGTTTCTACAGTATCGGCCTTGCACCGTAGTTGCCGAAGGATGGAGTCATGGACTAAGACTGATCGCCCAAAACGTGTTCTTAGGCTACCAAGACAATATTAGTTGCATACAATATCATTCAGAGGTCAAGGTCAAGGTCAGGTCAGGTCAGGTCAGGTCACCAAAAAACAAAATATAGAAAAGGGCATGTGCAATACATGTTTTATGGGTCATTTTACTCATAGAATTCAATAGGCACACTCAATAAGTGATATGGACCACCTCTGGATGAATTTCAGGGCGAGGTCAGGTCAAGGTCAGGTCAAGTGAGGTCAAATTTTGAAGTTGGTTGTTAAGGCCTAAAAAGGTGTCTATCTGATGCAGTTTTTCACGGCAAATCGAATGGTGCTATTTTTGTTTCCGTACGAGGTCTAGAACTTCCAAAAAAGTCATTTTTCAAAAAATTTGTGTGTCGTGACGTCATAAAATTTTGAATAACTCCCACATTTTTGAACCGATTCTTCTAAAATTTGGTATGTAGGTGCACATAGACCACTTCTCTGACATATATTCCGTTTTTTTCGATAGACTCAAAATTTTGGATTTTACAATGATTTTCCCAAAAATATCGGTTTTTTGAAAAAATTTAGGCCAAAATCCAAAATTTTCAAAAAACCGAGATAGCCATTTGATAGACAAAGTAAAATTACGTATAACCTTTTTTGTTACGTCTTGATTCCTTTAAAAATGAAGATGTTAGCGGCGTTTGAACTTTTGCCGTTTTTGAGGCGAAAATGGCGAACATGACGTCACTAAAACGTCAATTTCTCAAAAATTTTCCGACGGATTTCGCTCAAATTTTCAGGGAAGGTGTCAAATTGATGTAAGAAAAGGTACTGAAAGTTTGGCGGCGCTGCGCGCCGCCGTTTTTGAGATATCGCAAAAATTCGCGAGGGGGGGTAAAATTTACCCCCCCCCCAGCCCCGCGCGGGTTAACTTTCTCGTCTCAAGGCGCCAATTATTCCACCTAACAATTGCGCTAAAGCATTTGTTAAAATATCATATGCTCAAGACAGCGCCTATCATCATACTTGCCATGCGCATTACGACACACTTTAACGTAGCATTGGGACAGCCGATAGAATTTATATCATACGTGCATCGAGTTGCGGAGCTGCATTGTTTATAACAGATAAGTAGTAAGGCCTTGATTGAGCTCATTGGTGTCTATTATTTTGCACAGCAATTGTCCAGGGACGTGGGAACTGCAGTTTTTGGATAGTGCGGCAGCCAACGCCCCTAAGCGAATCTCACTGTTCCTCTGATGTGTGGCGAATCTCACTGTTCCTCTGATGTGTGATCGCAGCCACCAATAGCAAACCGGTCCAACTAGGAGCAAATAATTCGCGCACCTGGGACGGTTCGAACCGGGCTTTTCCAACCGGTCACCCTACGACGCTATCGTGCATCCACTGAGCTACCGAGACCAGCGACCGTCCGCCGCGGTCAAACGCAATCAAATGTCACAAAACTGTCATTGGCGGTCAGCGGGTGAATGTCATTTTGTTTTGTGCTGCTGGGGACCATTCTCGGTAGCTCAGTGGATGAACGATCGCATCGTAAGCTGACCGGTGGGGGAAGCCCGGTTCGAACCCTCCTGAGTGTCCGCGTTTTTGGCTCCTAGTTGGAACGGTTTGCTATTGGCGGCTGCGACCACATATTAGAGCAACAGTAATAATCGCTTTAAATTGGGGCGCTGGCTGCCGCACTATACCCATAGGCCATAATCCCTAGTTCCCACGTCTCTAGACGATTGCCGTGCGAAACAATAGACACCAATCTGCTCAATCAAGGCCTTAAAACTAATATGTTATACAAAATATAGCTCCGCACATCGATGCACGTGTGACATAAGTTCTATCGGCTGTCCCGTTGCCGCACTTAAGTGCGTCGTAATACGCATATCAAGTAAATGATAGGCGCTGCCGCTGTCTTGGGCATAGGGCATTTTAACAAATGCTTTAGCGCAATCGATAGGTAGAATAATTGGCGAATGGTGACGCGAAAGTTAACTACGCTCGCCAAGCCGCGCGATGGTCCATGCTCCCACCCCACCTCACTCGCCAGCCCTCGCCAGCCGCCGCGCGCCGCGCCGACCCGAGCTATGCCTCCGGGCTCGGCCCTCACCGCTGCGCTGACGTCACAGGCGGCCCACATCGCCTTACAGCCACCGACCCAGACCGGTGTCATACGGTGTGGGTAGGCTGTGCCGCTTGACAAGTAAGTGAAGCGGCACAGTCTACCGGTACCAGGCGGCTGCTGCCAATGCTGAGCCATAGGAACCCGGTGGATAAAGAGTTGTGGAACATCAATCTGCCCCCGAGTGTACCTCACCACACTGGGGGAGGGTCAGTTATATCACACCAGGACAGGCCGATCATACCGGCCACGTATAGTACCTCACCATACTGGGGGGAGGTCAGTTATATCACACCGGGTCGATCATGCCGGCCACGTATAGTACCTCACCACACTGGGGGAGGGTCAGTTATATCACACACCGGGTCCAGGCCGATCATACCGGCCATGTATAGTACCTCACCACACTGGGGGAGGGTCAGTTATATCACACCGGGCCGATCATACCGGCCACGTATAGTACCTCACCACACTGGGGGAGGGTCAGTTATATGACACCGGGTCAGGCCGATCATACCGGCCACGTATAGTACCTCACCGCACTGGGAGAGGGGTCAGTTATATCACACCGGGTCCAGGCCGATCATACCGGCCACGTATAGTACCTCACCACACTGGGGGAGGGTCAGTTATATCACACCGGGACAGGCCGATCATACCGGCCACGTATAGTACCTCACCACACTGGTGGAGGGTCAGTTATGTCACACTGCGGGTCAGGGCCGATCATACCGGCCACGTATAGTACCTCACCACACTGGGAGACGGGTCAGTTATATCACACCGGGTCCAGGCCGATCATACCGGCCACGTATAGTACCTCACCACACTGGGGGAGGGTCAGTTATATCACACCAGGACAGGCCGATCATACCGGCCACGTATAGTACCTCACCATACTGGGGGGAGGTCAGTTATATCACACCGGGTCGATCATACCGGCCACGTATAGTACCTCACCACACTGGGGGAGGGTCAGTTATATCACACACCGGGTCCAGGCCGATCATACCGGCCACGTATAGTACCTCACCACACTGGGGGAGGGTCAGTTATATCACACCGGGCCGATCATACCGGCCACGTATAGTACCTCACCACACTGGGGGAGGGTCAGTTATATGACACCGGGTCAGGCCGATCATACCGGCCACGTATAGTACCTCACCGCACTGGGAGAGGGGTCAGTTATATCACACCGGGTCCAGGCCGATCATACCGGCCACGTATAGTACCTCACCACACTGGGAGACGGGTCAGTTATATCACACCGGGTCCAGGCCGATCATACCGGCCACGTATAGTACCTCACCACACTGGGGGAGGGTCAGTTATATCACACCAGGACAGGCCGATCATACCGGCCACGTATAGTACCTCACCATACTGGGGGAGGTCAGTTATATCACACCGGGTCGATCATACCGGCCACGTATAGTACCTCACCACACTGGGGGAGGGTCAGTTATATCACACCGGGTCCAGGCCGATCATACCGGCCACGTATAGTACCTCACCACACTGGGGGAGGGTCAGTTATATCACACCGGGTCCAGGCCGATCATACCGGCCACGTATAGTACCTCACCACACTGGGGGAGGGTCAGTTATATCACACCGGGCCGATCATACCGGCCACGTATAGTACCTCACCACACTGGGGGAGGGTCAGTTATATGACACCGGGTCAGGCCGATCATACCGGCCACGTATAGTACCTCACCATACTGGGGGGAGGTCAGTTATATCACACCGGGTCGATCATACCGGCCACGTATAGTACCTCACCACACTGGGGGAGGGTCAGTTATATCACACCAGGACAGGCCGATCATACCGGCCACGTATAGTACCTCACCATACTGGGGGGAGGTCAGTTATATCACACCGGGTCGATCATACCGGCCACGTATAGTACCTCACCACACTGGGGGAGGGTCAGTTATATCACACCGGGTCCAGGCCGATCATACCGGCCACGTATAGTACCTCACCACACTGGGGGACGGGTCAGTTATATCACACACCGGGTCCAGGCCGATCATACCGGCCACGTATAGTACCTCACCACACTGGGGGAGGGTCAGTTATATCACACCGGGCCGATCATACCGGCCACGTATAGTACCTCACCACACTGGGGGAGGGTCAGTTATATGACACCGGGTCAGGCCGATCATACCGGCCACGTATAGTACCTCACCATACTGGGGGGAGGTCAGTTATATCACACCGGGTCGATCATACCGGCCACGTATAGTACCTCACCACACTGGGGGAGGGTCAGTTATATCACACCGGGCCGATCATACCGGCCACGTATAGTACCTCACCACACTGGGGGAGGGGTCAGTTATATCACACCGGGTCCAGGCCGATCATACCGGCCACGTATAGTACCTCACCACACTGGGGGGAGGGTCAGTTATATCACACACCGGGTCCAGGCCGATCATACCGGCCACGTATAGTACCTCACCACACTGGGGGAGGGTCAGTTATATCACACCGGGCCGATCATACCGGCCACGTATAGTACCTCACCACACTGGGGGAGGGTCAGTTATATGACACCGGGTCAGGCCGATCATACCGGCCACGTATAGTACCTCACCGCACTGGGAGAGGGGTCAGTTATATCACACCGGGTCCAGGCCGATCATACCGGCCACGTATAGTACCTCACCACACTGGGGGAGAGTCAGTTATATCACACCGGGTCCAGGCCGATCATACCGGCCACGTATAGTACCTCACCACACTGGGGGAGAGTCAGTTATATCACACCGGGTCCAGGCCGATCATACCGGCCACATATAGTACCTCACCACACTGGGGGAGGGGTCAGTTATATCACACCGGGTCCAGGCCGATCATACCGGCCACGTATAGTACCTCACCACACTGGGGGAGGGTCAGTTATATCACACACCGGGTCCAGGCCGATCATACCGGCCACGTATAGTACCTCACCACACTGGTGGAGGGTCAGTTATGTCACACTGCGGGTCAGGGCCGATCATACCGGCCACGTATAGTACCTCACCACACTGGGAGACGGGTCAGTTATATCACACCGGGTCCAGGCCGATCATACCGGCCACGTATAGTACCTCACCACACTGGGGGAGGGTCAGTTATATCACACCAGGACAGGCCGATCATACCGGCCACGTATAGTACCTCACCATACTGGGGGGAGGTCAGTTATATCACACCGGGTCGATCATACCGGCCACGTATAGTACCTCACCACACTGGGGGAGGGTCAGTTATATCACACACCGGGTCCAGGCAGATCATACCGGCCACGTATAGTACCTCACCACACTGGGGGAGGGTCAGTTATATCACACCGGGCCGATCATACCGGCCACGTATAGTACCTCACCACACTGGGGGAGGGTCAGTTATATGACACCGGGTCAGGCCGATCATACCGGCCACGTATAGTACCTCACCGCACTGGGAGAGGGGTCAGTTATATCACACCGGGTCCAGGCCGATCATACCGGCCACGTATAGTACCTCACCACACTGGGGGAGGGTCGGTTATATCACACCGGGACAGGCCGATCATACCGGCCACGTATAGTACCTCACCACACTGCAGGCAGGGGGGCGGTCGGTTACATATAACACCGGGACAGGCCGATCATACCGGCCACGTATAGTACCTCACCACGCTGGGGGGAGGTCAGTTATATCACACCGGGTCGATCATACCGGCCACGTATAGTACCTCACCACACTGGGGGACGGGTCAGTTATATCACACCGGGTCCAGGCCGATCATACCGGCCACGTATAGTACCTCACCACACTGGGGGAGGGGTCAGTTATATCACACCGGGTCGATCATACCGGCCACGTATAGTACCTCACCACACTGGGGGACGGGTCAGTTATATCACACCGGGTCCAGGCCGATCATACCGGCCACGTATAGTACCTCACCACACTGGGGGAGGGTCAGTTATATCACACCGGGTCGATCATACCGGCCACGTATAGTACCTCACCACACTGGGGGACGGGTCAGTTATATCACACCGGGTCCAGGCCGATCATACCGGCCACGTATAGTACCTCACCACACTGGGGGAGGGGTCAGTTATATCACACCGGGTCGATCATACCGGCCACGTATAGTACCTCACCACACTGGGGGACGGGTCAGTTATATCACACCGGGTCCAGGCCGATCATACCGGCCACGTATAGTACCTCACCACACTGGGGGAGGGTCAGTTATATCACACCGGGTCCAGGCCGATCATACCGGCCACGTATAGTACCTCACCACACTGGGGGAGGGTCAGTTATATCACACCGGGACAGGCCGATCATACCGGCCACGTATAGTACCTCACCACACTGGGGGAGGGGTCAGTTATATCACACCGGGACAGGCCGATCATACCGGCCACGTATAGTACCTCACCACACTGGGGGAGGGTCGGTTATATCACACCGGGCCGATCATACCGGCCACGTATAGTACCTCACCACACTGGGGGAGGGTCAGTTATATGACACCGGGTCAGGCCGATCATACCGGCCACGTATAGTACCTCACCGCACTGGGAGAGGGGTCAGTTATATCACACCGGGTCCAGGCCGATCATACCGGCCACGTATAGTACCTCACCACACTGGGGGAGGGTCGGTTATATCACACCGGGACAGGCCGATCATACCGGCCACGTATAGTACCTCACCACACTGCAGGCAGGGGGGCGGTCGGTTACATATAACACCGGGACAGGCCGATCATACCGGCCACGTATAGTACCTCACCACACTGGGGACGGGTCAGTTATATCACACCGGGTCCAGGCCGATCATACCGGCCACGTATAGTACCTCACCACACTGGGGGAGGGTCAGTTATATCACACCGGGTCAGGCCGATCATACCGGCCACGTATAGTACCTCACCACACTGGGGGAGGGTCAGTTATATCACACCGGGACAGGCCGATCATACCGGCCACGTATAGTACCTCACCACACTGGGGGAGGGTCAGTTATATCACACCGGGACAGGCCGATCATACCGGCCACGTGAAGCACCTCACCGCTTCGTAGGAACAGGGGAGGGGTTCAAGTTTACATCACCACACTTAACTAGGGTCGGAACAGCTGTGAAAGGCGAAAGGATCAGTAAAACTGAAACTTGACACAGACCTATGCGGGTGTGAAGCATTATTATGTGGCAATTATCCAGCACACACCAGAATCTTATGCGTCCAGATTAACTGAGAAAATAAGTACGTAAGTGCTCGACTCGGACTATCCTCCCCTCAGCCCTAGTACTGTTCCATACCAGCATCTCACTTACCATCACGGACTGGCTGTAGGGCCCGATGTTGGGCCCAGTGGGACCCCCCCCTCCTTACCAGCACGGACTGGCTGTAGGGCCCGGTGTCCCCCCCCCCTCCTCACCAGCACGGACTGGCTGTAGGGCCCGATGTTGGGTCCAGTGGGACATCTCCCCCCCCCCCTTACCAGCACGGACTGGCTGTAGGGCCCGGTGTCCCCCCCCCCTCCTCACCATCACGGATTGGCTGTAGGGCCCGATGTTGGCCGGCGCCCAGTGCGACACACTCTGGACGTGCATGTGCCGTCGGTGGGCGGCCGCCGCTCGCAGTGCCGTCACCTCCAGTCGCACTTCAGAGCCGGCTGGCAGCGGCGCCTGCACGCACAGCCGCGCCGGCCGACTGCCGCCCAGACGGCGCACGTACTCAGAGTTCAGCGCGGCGTACCGGGACATCCGCGACACGAACAGCGCCACTGAGGTGAGGTCCGACACCGCCAGACCGCGCGACGACAGCGACTCTGAGGGGAGACAGCAGGTCAGGTCAGGTCAGACCGTGGAACGACAGTGTCTTTGAGGGAGGGTACAGGTCGGGTCAAGTCAGGTCAAGTTAGTCCAGACCGTGGGACGACAACATTTCTGAGGGAGGATACAACAGGTCAAGTTCAGACCGTGAGAGGACAGCATCTCTGGGACGGGGTACAGCAGGTGAGGTCAGGTCAGATCAGACCATGGGAGTACAGCGTCTCTGATGGAAGGGTTATACGACGGGTCACACACGATAAAGACAATGCAAGATGAAGATGTGAATATGAGCCAAATGATTCAGCGTACCATGAGTGCAGCTGTCTGCAATGTGCACATGCCTGAGAGCTTACTTTAAGTACGAGGCTGACCGTTCCCCGTCGAGACCCACCTGTGAGCGTGTCCAGGGCCGCCTCCATGCCGCTGCGTCCGCCGTCGGCCCGCCCCTCGATCGGCCCCACCCACACCCAACCGGCTGACTCGGCCACGGTCGGCTCCGGGACAGCGGTGGCGTCCTCTGACGGCGGGTCGGTGCTGCCATCTACCGGCGGCGGCGAGTCAAACAGCTCCGGCCGCTCACAGGTGGCGGGAAGGCCGGCTATCCGCTGCGCCTGGGTCAGATCACCCTGCCGGAAACGCAAATTTATTACACAATCCTAGGCCAGTTAGAGATGCAAAACACAAATAAACACAATTTCCGTATACACAAAACATAAGTTAAACTATTTCAATATGTTTCGATGTTGAAATAGCTTCGATGTTCGTTTTCATAAAAACGAATATCGGACAACTTGAATAATTTGTGTTATCATTCAAAGTACTCCGAGTGATCGCACTCCGCCCCTCCTCTCACCAGCTGTTTGTCCTCCAGATGAGTGCGGGTGAAGTTGAGGTAGGCCACGGGAGCGAACGCGTCGTCAGAGTGCGTTACCACCTCCTGTTCATCGCTGAAAGAAACGAACGATCATACACCAGTTAGGTATACATTGGGACAAGTATCAGGCATGCCTTCTCAAATGGATATTGAATGTGATTGAAGATTGAAGATCGAAGAAAAATTATTTCCCTATTTTGAAACATTACAGAAGGAGATAAGGACAGACATAAAACACACATTTGGGGTGCAAGAAATCGGACAGGCTCGAGAGATACGCATTAATCCTGACCGGTACTCTGTATTTTCCGAAGGTATGAAGGAATTATTGTCCAGAGAAATAATTGATGATTTTTAGTAAAAGCACGGCGGTGCTTGTGCACGACAAACTCACATAACTATCCTTTTCTTGAAGAGCGGACAGTCGAGTGTGAACGTTTCGTACTCTCCGCCCTCCCCGCATACGTTCAGGCCATACTTTCCTTTCTGAAAAACGGAGGAACACATATTCGGAACTGTTACTCTGCCAAAAGTAAGAATTGCCAACATCCATGTTAATCTTGAAAGCGATTTCCCGCAAAAGAAAAGGAATGTTTTACAAGATGTATCTGAAATTGGAACCAATCCCTAATAAGTTTATGTTATGTATAAGAGCGACCTTTAAATCGACAAACATATATTAAGCACTCAATAACTTACGCAAAAAAAAAACTGACGATAAAGTATCAGCGCCAGAGACAATTCAATCAAGACGTGATTGACAAGAAATTCACTTTGTCACAGATGAGCAGGGATAAAAAGTAATGGAGCATACCGACAACCATCCTCCCTCAGTATCCCCACATATCCCCCTGGGAGAGCTCAGCCCGACCCTTAGTACCCGCCCGGTCCCTCCGCCCGACCCCCGGTACCCGCCCGGTCCTTCCGCCCGACCCCCGGTACTCGCCCGATCTCTCGGCCCGATTCCCGGTACCCGCCTGGTCCCTTCGCCCGATCCCCGATACCCGCCCGGTCCCTCCGCCTGATCCCCGGTACCCGCCCGGTCCCTCCGCCGCCGCGGTGATGCCCACCATGCGCTCCATGTGCGGCCTGATCTGCTCCAGCGTCTGACCGAGGTGTCTGTCGGGCAGCAGACCCAGCGCGGCCACCTTCACCAGCACGGCGTGTACGCGACACGCGACCATCTCGGTCAGCAGCTCCGACTGGTCGCGGCGCCACAGGAACGACAGAGAGGTCAGACCCAGCCGCGAGCAGCTGTAACGGAGGGAGGCGGTCAGACCCAGCCGGGAGCAGCTGTAACGGAGGGGAGGGGTCAGTCGGGAGCAGCTGTAACCGATGGAGGTCAGACCCAGCCGCGAGCAGCTGTAACGGAGGGAGGTCAGACCCAGCCGGGAGCAGCTGTAACGAAACGACAGTAAGCTCAGACCCAGCCGGGAGCAGCTGTAACGTGGGGACAACGACGTCAGACCCAGCCGGGAGCAGCTGTAACCGAGGGCAGGGGGTCAGACCCAGCCGCGAGCAGCTGTAACGAAACGACAGTAAGCTCAGACCCTGCCGGGAACAGCTGTAACGCAGGGAGGCGGTCACTGGTCAGCCGCGGACGTCGTAACGGAGGGAGGGGTCAGATCCACCCGAGAGCAGCTGTAACGGGACAGAGGGGTCAGACCCAGCCGGGAGCCGCTGTAACGGAGGGAGGGGTCAGACCCTGCCGCGAGCAGCTGTGTCGGAGGAAGGGGTCAGACCCAGCCGGGAGCAGCTGTAACGGGACAGAGGTCAGACCCAGCCGGTAGCGCGGAGGGAGGCGGTCACTGGTCAGCCGGGAGCACCTTTAACCGAGCGAGGGGTCAGACCCAGAGGGGAGCGGCAGCATGATCACTCAAAGCTAATCGAGAACAAAATACAAATACTTTATCAGCGTCTTAAGCGGAACTACATATTTGTCAGGAACGACAGAGAGGTTAGACCCAGCCGCGAGCAGCTGTAACGGAGGGAGAAGAGGTCACTGGTCAGCCGGGAGAACCTTTAACCGAGGGGAGGGCTCAGAATTAGAGGGGAGCGGCAGCATGATCACCAAATAGTACGAGTTAGAGTATAGCATAACTCGTATAGCAGCTATGTGTTCACGGTTTTTCAAAGCTAATCGAGCACAAAATACAAATACTTTATCAGCGTCTAAAGCGGAACTACATATCATCCACTGTCTTCATTGGAGAAGTCGATATTCTGGAAGCTTGCATCTCTGGCAATCCACAGGCAGAAGTCATAACTACTTAACAGTATTGAAGCAAAAAAGGTCGAAAAAAGGTGAAACATTAAACGCCATAAGCCCAAAGTACATCGCCCAAGCCTTCCATCAGTTGTAATGTTCTTACACATTTTCAACGCGTACTCGTTGGTAGTCTGACAGAATGGCACCCACGGAGACCGCTTCAAAATCGAGCTCCTCCTGAAAACAGAGATAAAATATCGTGAGACATCCAGGGTTAAAACTTTGTATGAAGGAATACAAATTACAAAATGAAGTTTCCATCAGCTTTTATTTATCTACAAGCCATTTCAAAGAGAAGTGGGTCTGTGTGTGTTGTAGTTGGTGTCGACGAGTAAGTGTCGTGCGAACACCAGACCATGTGAGCATCAATCAAACCATACTGGTAGAATAAAGTGCATACCTTGATTTTGGAGAGCAGCCTGTGCAGATCCTCCACCTCGTCCCCCTCAGTGGGGCTGTACTCGCGGTCACTGGCACACGCAGAGCCCCGAATGGACGCCCGGTACAGAGGCAGCTCCATCGCCTCGGCATACAGAGCGATGGCATTGTGGCCCACAGTCTGGTACATGTAGCTGTCCATCTCATCTGTGTGAACATGAGATTCAAATGCATGTGAAATGTACAAACTATGTATGCTGACATGTAAAATTGCCATTCTGGACTGATGGCTGACATGATTGTGACATTGAGAAGGTGGTCACTGCCAAGACTGGAGAACTTTCATATAGGTACTGCGCTGGACGCCTGTGAAACCCTCTTGCGCCGAAATTCGGCGCGAGCAATTTTGCGTTGAATTTTCTGCATGATTTGCGCCGAAAACTGGGTGCCTACTTGTGCTAAAATTAGGCCATTTTTATTCAAAGCACATGTGCACATCTACCAATCAATGCTATATCAACCAGACAGAGCTTTCCGGGGCCTTGGACGCTCTCCCATGTTTGAGCGTCCGAATAAGTTTGTTTTTCCCACGGACGGAAACCCAATGTCTCAATACGCTTAGCCCACTGTAGCGTCGTGCAGTGAAACAAGACCGGAGCTGTAAGTTCCGGGGCCACAGAAATCGGCGGAGCGGTGTGTTCGACGCTGGCGGGAGCCAGCGAGGGCCGGGCAGCGGAACAGCACGTGCTCCGGCACATCAGCCTCTTCTCACGGCACACGGCGCACGGGACACGACGCAGTGCGAGCGACCCCCGTGGCCCGCCCTCATCTGGTGCACCGAAACGGTCCTCTCGGTCCTCTCCGGGGATAGGAAGCGGCAGCGTGCTCCCGAGAAGTGGCTTGAATAGCGACTCGGGACCATTGGTGCGAGGCCGCACAATGAACCGCCCTGGTCAGCGAGCGGGCGTTTGAGGGCAGGGCGGCCGCTTGTTTCGTCAGGTCGTCTGCGCTCTCATTCCCCTCGATACCGCAGTGAATAGGAACCCACTGCAGTATTGCTTTACGACACTCTGCGATGTTCAACAAGGTCTTCCATACATATCTCCACGCCAAGGGTTGAACCTGGCTAGTCGCTCCTCTGCCGAGTAGACTCAGGGGTGGCTCACCATTTCGAGAACGCGACGATCGGGGTGAGGACGTCTCGTCCCGAAATCTCTCCAGAACCGCCCGCAGGGCGAATCTGCAGCTAGAATGACCAGCATGCCGACCAAATTCGGTGGACGTCATTCGGTGTCCATCTTTCCCCAAAAAATTATGCGGTCGCCCTGTGCCAAAAAATTCAGCCACCGCCATGCGCTGAATTTGGCGCATGCGAAGATACCCCGTACATGCTCTGAAATTTTGGCCGCAATCCCATCACCATGACCACACCAGATATATTCGGCATGACATGTATTTTTTCCAGTTTGGGTCGAATTCACTTGAGACAGGGTTATGAAATTTTCAGGGAGTGACATGAGGAAACTGGAAGCTGTGTCAATATCAGCAGCTGCTTACTGACACAATCACGAAAACTCAATAAGGATACGACAACCATGAATATCCAAAATTTCCCATTTTGTCGAAAGGCTCAAAAACAAATACCTACTTGGGGTCCATGACCTAGACACTAGAGCACAATAATAATAAGTTAAAATAGGCACAAGAGAATCAAATTTAATGCATACCTACCATTAGCTGACTGTGGAGGATGCAGATTTGCCAGAGCGACCACAGCGTGCCCTTCCCGGACACACTGAATCATGTTGTAGCAACTATCCTTCCCGCCACTGACTAAAGCCACGACCCTCATATCTCAAGCAATATTACAGTATTTGCAATGTAAACCCCCAATTTCTTTCAATAACAAAAAAAGCTTGAAATACAAATATTTCTTCCCGCACTGTCTCTTGAAAGTTGAGCAACGTGACATTTGTTTACAAAATTTAGAACGAAACAATCGCGCCAGACTCGTCATGTTTGGTAGTAATAAATGGTAGCAGTTTCCCTTCATTCACTTCATAGCTAGTAAAGTAATTTTGCTTCATAGCACATCAGTTGGGCAAACTAGGCGGCGGGAATCAAAATATGGAGGCATCAAAATATTGATTCTAGTGGGCGGAGCTTTGACCATATATGGGCATAGAATCAATATTTTGATTCAATTTGGGACATTCCCACCTTCAGACGACCCGTTACGGCGGAAATAACCCCCATGACGGCGAGATTTTTTGACAAGTCAAAACAAAAAACTTCCCCGCTTCAATTTTTCGCTGCATGGCTATCAGCCGTTTGTCGCGCGTACCTTTACGAATGGCATAAAGATTTCGCCGCCATAATTCAACAAAAACGTGCTGATAAAACTTGCTCTGTTTATCATTAACGACGAGCCTTTGTATTTTTTTCATAATTTTGTCTAAAAGAAAATAAAAAATGCGTTATTTAGTTGTATAATTCATTTATAAGAAATATTCTTTTTCTTTGTATCTAGCCACGATTTCCGGTTCCCGCCATTTCGCGCCGGCGTCGTGGGTGTGTGGATGCAACGTAGTGCTCCCGGTTTTATTTTGTCTAAGCGACCTTTTCTGACGTGTAAGTAACAATGGATCATATTTTAAGATACTTTGAAGTGTGTTTTTCAATTTCAGGCATGTGATCTTAACGTTTCTTACCGAAAACTCGTTTTAAGAGATGGTTTTAGGAACATGGCGCGGTAGCGACGTCAGCGGCGCGGGACGCCTTCTCACTCTTCTATTGTCTTTTTAAGCTATATTTTTTTGAAAATGATGTCTTAGGTGTAGTATTTCAGTGAAATATGATGTCCTTTAAAAGTTACGGTATAAATTAGGTACAAGAAGCCTAATGTTTTGTCTCACCTGATAGAATTGTTGGGTGGACTCATGAAATGGGGGCAGTGCATGTCCAGTATTTTACATAATTTGGATGTTTTAGCCTCTGCTTGTGTCTCACTCACCCAATTGTTGCTACAACTTTAATTTGTAGCATTTAAATTTTTAATGGCAACTAGGTTATTGACTTGTTCCGAGTCAAGATTGAAAGGTCGTAGTGCATGTTCGTGTTTGCCTTATCTAAATAGTAGGTATGTATGCTTGGCTTGTAATTGCTTCGCCGATTTTTGCTACATATTTAATGATGCTTACTTTAAGTGTAACAAAAGCAAGTTGCTGAATGGTGTAAGCCATATTTACATTATGCGTGATCTTCAAGAAAATTATGTGTCTAATGTACGGCAGTCCAGGGAATGCTGGATAGTTAATTTTCAGGATTGTCCATGCCAAAGTTAATTTTAGAGGCCAGTTTTATCAACACAAATAGCTGCCTGCTGAAATTTTTTGCCTTAAGACTGTTTCACATATGGAGCGTTAACATGATGGGCACGTAAAAGGATAGGGCTGTACCGTTCATGCTCTGTATGTGAAGTAACTTTTAAACAAAAAAAAAAAAATCCAGCAGTCACCTATTTTTCTGTTGGTACAACTGGCCTCAGATCTACTTTTTTGGCAGAATTTATATAATTGCATGAGATGACAGTTGTTGGCGCACCTGGTGGCGTTCAGTGGAAATTTAAGTGACATTAAGTATTTAATTTTTTATTAAATACATTCTAAAATTAATAGTTGCTGAACAAGGGGAATAATAACACATATAGTTTCCTAATTTATTGTCCACAAATGTCCTAATTATTGTGTTCTGTTGTTTGCTGCAGGTCAACCAAGGATCAAACACTGGTCGTTGCGGGGATCGGCTTCAGAGGGCCAAGGATGGCGTCTTGAATCGCTGTTTAGTCGACAGGCAACTGTATGACGCCATCCCTGTCAACCAGAGCGTCGACTGAAGTAGGGCGGCGTTGCGCGGACCTGGCCGCACCCGACCAACCGGCGGAGTACCTGACTCGGGCTGGGCGGAGACTACCTACATCACGACCTTTTGAACTTTGATCTCGTGGCGAGAAACAATATGACGTAAGGAAGTGTGTATGTGGCTGGCGGGGCCGAGGGTGAAATGCGCCACGTGTTTATCCTGCCGGATGACGACAGCGTCACCAACCTGTCAAAGAACGAGCTGGTGCAGCGCGTGATGACTGCTATCTCGTCCCTAGAACCGGAGTAGAAAAACGTGCGCATAGCCCAGATGAAGCGAACCAAAACACAGACAGGACTGATAGCTTTTCGGTCGAGAATGTTCTGAAGATGCTGATCAGTAGACCAATTGGTGACCGTTTTCGGTGGTAATATGGGATCTTGTGGTGTTCCAAAGCGACCTGCTTTGGGTGTGGACATAAGTGGCTCAACCTGACAGGATTGATGTTTTAGGTAGCCGTGCTAATCATAAACCCTATATTGAGTGTATCTGTACAAATTTTGTTTATATTTATTTCATGTATTTGATTCGAAACCGAAAATTGCTGTTTGTAATTAGGCAACATCGAGACGTTGAGGTCATTCTCCAGACGTTTATTTGTTTTTTTCTCACCTGTCCGCGGTATGTCTTATTGGTTAGGTCTCAGTTTCAAATATTATTAACTGCATGTTTTGCAAATACGTAGCCATATTGAATAAGAGACGTGTCCTAAAAGTGAGTATTGCTTTGCATGGGATGTGAGCATCAACGACAGGGCTTTGTGATGGCAAATATGTGGCAATTGCAGGGATCGTTGTGAAATGTGTTATGAATATCATCGTATTATTTGCGAATGCAAATACATCCGTGTATCATATTTTCATTCAAATTGTGCAATTTGTGCAACGGGCTTGAGTATATTGTTCGGCGAAATATCTCCTACTGTACTCCACAGAAATGGGACGGGATACAGATGCGTAGAAACACATTCATGAACACGTGAAAGACGATAAGTTAACTTTTTTTTACTCAAAATCAATGCTACAAAGCAGGGATGTGGAGCCGTGAAAATGTCAGACGGCTTCGGCTCCGGAGGAAAAAATCGGCTCCAGCTCCGGCTCCGGCTCCGAGTAAAATGGTCGGGCTTCGGTTCCGGCTCCGACTCAGTACAACCCCTATACAAAGGTCAGCACGGCTCCCTTCACGCATTCCCTCGAAGGCTTGCAGCTTTGAGCAGGGAGCCAGGGTGAGTGCTGAAAATCCCTGGTCTACCGTGGGAATAAGGTCTAGAAAAAAATTACACGATCCTGTGCTGATAATATCTTAATGAATTTATTGAATTTGCATTATTTGCACACAAGAAACATCCCATAAATCAATTTAAAGGGTGAAGTACGTCTGCAGAAAGTCAGTTCGCAGAATCAATATATTGATAAACCAGCTGATTTCAGAATCAAAATAATGATTAGCCAGCTGTTTGCAGAATCAAAATATTGATTCTCGCCGGGATTAGCCGCCGTGATGAATCAATATCTTGATTATTTTCAAGACACTTTCCAAAACTAACCAAAGAGGTTAGGGCTATTGTTTCGTGCCTGGTGGGCAGCTTCAACGTTGCTCTTCATTTTGTGAAGAAACTATCTTGAAATTGTAGCCGGTTGCTGAAGAATTGACGTTTCTGTGATGGTCTGCACGTATGCCCATATATGGTCAAAGCTCCGCCCACTAGAATCAATATTTTGATGCCTCCATATTTTGATTCCCGCCGCCTAGTTTGCCCAACTGACATGCATTTCTGCAATCAAAATATAGCAGTGACAATTTCCTGGGCTGACCAAAGACTGAGCCGATCACTGCTGTTGATGGCCTTGCGCTGGCTATGCAAAGCCAGCTCATACAAAGACCATTCGATTAGATAAAAGGCTGAGCTACTGATTTGACCATCATCCACATGTCAGGCTCACGTCTTCACTCTCAATAAAAATCATTTCAAGCTGAACGACCGAACATCTTTATTTCTCATCCATGGGAAGATGAACATGGACAAAAAAACCAATCGGCGAAAATACAAAACTAGAAATACCAGCACTCCTGCCTGCTCCCTCCGGTCTGATGTATTTATTCGCCTATGTTGACTCGACTCGCACGTTCGACCCACTCGACTGGGACCACGGTCCAGTGGACCCCCAGAGTCCACGACACTGAGGACTACAGACGCGACCGTCCCGGCACGGACTCCAATTTACCCGCCCCTGCAGAGCCCACCCTACCCTGGAATTATCGTCCAGAGGTTAGACCCACATCAGAGACAAACAAAAAGACAGCTCCTAATCATTGTTGACAGTTGACATGCAAGTTGTCAAGGTACAGGAGATTCATTGTCGTATGCATTTCTACGAACGCAACTCAGAAGTCTGACGAACAGAAACGTCAAACGCATGCAAAAACAAAACACACTAGTCCACAGGAATCCGGATGAAGCGACAAGCGCCGCGCTATTTGGCGACATGAGTGCTTCAGCATTCCACAAAGCCCAGCAGGCGGCTGATTAAATATCCAGTAAATACTCGACCTCGCCATGGCCGTCCGCTGCTGAGTATGTAAGTGGTTCGGACAAGCTGAAGCCACATCAGAGCCGGTAAGTTCGCGACACAGCTACAGGCCTACAGCCCTCCAAGGATGACCAAAGAAGCCGACATCGCTCGCAGAATGACGCCGAATGGGCGGTACGTCTGTTCAGCTCCCACACGCGAGCAGCGAGCGGAATCGGGCCAATCAGTGTCTGAGGCCCGGCAGCGGCCACCAATCAGCGGCTGAGGCCGGGCAGCGGCGACCAATCATGGCAGCGTGCCGCTACCAATGCAGCCGCGGCATGGCCGCGCTCGACTGGTCCGCGACCAACTAGGCTCTAGAAGCGAGCTGTACGGGTATATGTACACAGACACGTACAGAGGCCCCAGTCACTCACACGCGCGCACGAGCACACGCCGTCGCCCAATGAAACGGAACGCTCTGTGCAAGACAAAAATATAAAGTGGCATCCAGTCGAAAACGGTCGCGGGCCCCACGCAGTGCTATCAGTGACATTCAGCATTCACAAAACGAATATAAGTACCTCCTGGTGCGTCGAACACAAAATAACAATAACCAAGCTCTGGCGGCGCGCACCGGTTGAGTGCGTCGGACATTGACCCCGCCGCAGAGGCGCCGCGCGACAATACAAAACTAGTGGCTATTTACACCCCCACACATACATACACACACACACTGATGGGCGCACAGCGAACGGTCGCCGGGCGAGGGCGCGCGCGGGTCCGCCCGGCGGCGGAGGCGCGCCCTACACACCGCTCGCTGAGGCCGCGGCCGCTGCGGGCCGCCCACTGACTGTGGCCGCCGGCCCGCCCCTTGTACTGACAGGTCCGCCGGGCCGAGACTCTGCCCTCGCTCCACACCCAGTCTCACACCACGGCGGCCAACGCGACTCCGGCCTCCGCACCAGACCTGCAGGGGCGCATACAGCGCCACCTGTATCGTACAACAGCCCGATGGTAGCGCCACCGAGAACGTGTCGCTCAGTGACGGTGGCGACACCTAGGCCTTGTACTCGTTCTCCGAGCGCATCACGGTGATGCAGAGACTGAGGGCGATCATAAGGGCCAGCACCTCGACCACCATGACGGAGGAGACGACGCTGATCAGCACCCAGACGTGGTCCTCGAGGAACTGTACCAGCGCGTCTCCGCAGCCCTGCCGAACGGAGGAGAAACAGACGGCGTCAGTAAAGACACTTGGGTGAAGGGCCTATGATTGGAAATACTCAGCAAGCGTCTTCTAACCACTGCTGAAGAAAATGGCACGACTCAGACTGGCTAGTAAAGCTGGTAAGCATATGCAAAGCCGATATCTAATAGCACCTTCTAGCATTAACACTGCTCCTCTGACCCGGCTCATTGCACCCGTTTGCCCACTGCCCCGCCCCGGCCACGCACCTGTTGGCTGATGACGCCGGTGACGGTGCCGGAGAGCGGCACCTGCACCGACGCCTGGCAGGCAGCGTCCTCCGGCTCGGTGGTGCAGCACGACTCGGGCACCTTGAACAGGCCCACGGCGCCGGCCACCGCGCCCGTGATGCCCGACACGCCCAGCTCGACGCCCGACTTGTTGGCGTCCCCGTTATTGTAGAACGACTTGGCCCAGTCTCGCGGTCCCTTGCCGCCGCAGCACTTGAGCTGAGACTGGATCACGTCCAGCGCCTCAGTGCGCGGCAGAACCTGGCGGACAAAAATTGAAGCTGTGGTTAGACATCGGGCGGTAGGTGGCAGCAGGGCGCAGCGCGATGAAAACGTGACATCGGAGCTGTCGGGACATCTTTTGAGCAGCGATCGTGGGAATTAGCCGGCTTACGACTGCCGCAAAAACTGCGATCTGCCGTGTTTTCCACGTCAGTGGTTGTCACCTGCAGAACATGACTCAGCCATTAGACGTGGGGAATATTGGACCAGCCCGCACTGACTGTCGGGTGAGCGCTGAACGCGCGGACTGGATCCGACCTCAATTCCAACGCACTGTTCCACCTTCCAAGGAACACTACAAGTGCAGCCTGGTGTCGACGACTGAAGAATCCGTAAAATTCACGATGCTGTAAATTTTTAAACATACCGGCGTGACCGACCCAAAATGTAAACATTCCGTAATTTTGTCCTAGCTTAGCACAAAAAGCACTCAACACGGTTCTTAGACACACATTAAAATAAAAAGTTTTTGGTTTCCCCTATCGTCACAACACCAATTGAAACCCACAATACTAAATCTGCGCTGTTTGTACTGTCGCTGAGCACACAAGACCTTGCCGCGCCCGACCAATGTCACGGCGGGCCCGTTATCGACCGGCTCCCCCTGTGACCCCGCCCCGGGCAATACCGCCGGGGGGGGGGGGGGCATCCAATGTCGGCCGAGTCTGACCAGTAGCGCGGCGTCTGTGACCCCCGCCCATCGCAATGCCTCCCCGGGGCATCCAAATGTCGACCGAGTCTGACCTTAGCATGGCGTCTGTGGCCCCGGACCGGCAAACGGAGCGCACCGCGTGACACCGACGCCCGGCATACCCACTGATGTCACGACACCATCTCCCCATCCACTGATGTCACCTGACTATCAGCTGGGCGACCCTAATCTCCCTGTGAGGCATGAAAACTGACTAAGGAATGTTCACCACTGCGTATACGGTGAAGTATCCATCACTCACCCTTCCGTAGTCGACGCGGACGGCGGCTGAAACGGTGTCCTTCAGCTCCTGGCGCAGCTTCTCGCGGTTCATGTGGATCCAGACGATGCTGGCGATCTCAGCCACGATGATCAGCAGGACCAGCGTGAAGAACTGCCGGGCGGCGAGGACCGGTCAGCGCGGGCAGGTCACCGCGGCGAAATGGGTAAAACAGGACCGGACAGCGGGCCAACGTCAACAGCGGCGAGATGGGAGAGGCACGTTTGACGCAGTGGTGTCATCAATCATAACACGGCTAGGTACGACAAAATACACATGGAGAAGCGCTAATTCGAAATAAATCCCAGCCAGGACTTAGGAGTGATGATCTAATGTTTATAGGTGATTATCAATGCTAATGAATGGCTTTCCTCAGCACCTCATTCACTCGGCGCCATTCCGCTCACAGAGCCAGGCATTACCGCTGGTCCTCGGCCATCCCCATTCCCTCTGCCGTCTGAAGCTCAGCACAGCGTGTCGGACGGGTCAGCCAAATAAACTGTGGATTCCGCCCGCCGCCCCCAGCCTCCGTTCCGCCCGCTCCAGCGCGGGGCACCGACCCGGCCCGGCCGGCGCCGCCCCTCCACCGGCTACCCTCCGGTGGTGGTCCTTCGCAGCGCCGCCGCTGACGTATTCATTTATGCACCGACCGCAGCCGAAAACAAACCGGTCACCCTGCGTGAGCCAGAGTGACCGCTGCGTGCGCTGCGGTCCTGTGGTCGGTCGGGCCGGCCGGGTGGCCGTCCGCGGATGCACGCGGGGCACGGGGGCTGCGGAGGAAGCCCTGGATAGGTCCACCCGGTCGGATGTTTACCCGGCCGTGCAGCGTCCGGGGACGTCCCGTCACTCGCCGGCCATCAGGCCCCTCGTGTCAACACGCCTTCAGCGCGCCCCATCGCTCACTGACTGCGGTGTCGGGGAGGAGGGTATTCGCGGCGCGTCATCCGTAAATAAACTGGACAGCGAAATGGGACCAAACAAAATTGCTCTGCAGCTTTCTGAATGAAATATCAAATATGGATACGCAATGAAAAGCGTTCCGAGAAAGCGCGATTCAAACCTGGGAGTAATAACAAATAGCTCAACAGAAGTTGTCGGCTTATCTGAGATACCTTGTCGCAAAGATCACCGATATTTATAATTTATATTGACATGGCATTGTCACAATTCACAAGCTGCGTGCAGGAGGAGCCGGCCCGATCACGGACTGGACGCCGGGCCAGCTCTGAGCCGACGGTCCCGGCCAGTGCAGTGACGCGGTGACGGCCGGTCAGCCGGTCACCGTGACTGCGCAGCACACAGCTCTGGAGGGACAGGGGACCCATACCTAATACCCATGGCCGCTGCGGGACGTATTCCCAGTCACGTATCACTGAGACTGTTTTCAGTATCACGTCACCGGCGAGTGCGGGGCCGACTGACTGACCTCGGTAGCTAGCACCCCCTCCCACTCGCCAGTTCTGTAGACTGTAACCGACCTGTGTCGAACTTATACCTCGCCCTCCGTTTCGGCACGATTTCCGTTCAAAGCCCTCCTGTTGCCGGCCCTCTGTGCGGTTCTGAGTCGAAGCCCCATCTCCTCTGCTCGCCCACCCTCGCTCTCTACTCTGATCCCTCACGCACCAGAGCTGAGACCGGCGACTGAGACCGGCGCGGCACAGCGGGTCACTGCCCCCGGCCACGGCGGGATCGGTAGGATGGGCGGTCTCCCACCCCAGCATGAGCGGCGCCCGGCCCGCGGTCGATCAAATGCCCATTCCCCGCCGCTGTTCCCTCGGGGCGGGGAGAACGGGCCCGTGCGCCACACACCCACACCCGATACCCGAGCTGAGGGGGGGGGGAGGGGCGACCGGAGGACGTCCGGTCCACGCACCGGAACCGTGCGGAATAGGGTAATTATCTAGTAAATAGCTCGTGGGAATTAAAATACGATAAAAATTTAAGATGAGACGGAACTAACAACGATATATCTTGGAAGAGTTCTCAGAAACCGAGCGCCGCCTGAGACATACGTGGGAACATTCAAAGTTCAAACCCAATCATTCCATTTCAGAGCGCGGGAGCAAAGCATCATCCCAACAACTCCAAGCCGGCGCGGCGGGAGGGGTCTAGTTGGAGAATGCGACAGCGAGAGGAAGCATTTCTGGCATCGTAAGTCGTAACTCGCGGCTCCCGAAGCGGAGCCGTCAGCGCCGGACCCCATCAGTCTCATCGTACGACGGCTACAGCGTGTCTGCCCGCCGGGCGTGTCGCTACCGACAGAAGACGGCGCGTTATCGGAGGGAGTGACGGCGAGCGGCGACGATGGAATCTCGTTCACGCACGCCTCGTCCCTCCTCGGTACTGGACCAGACGGACACCCCGTCACAGAGCTGTGTGGGGCAGGAGCAGAGAGGACCTCCTCAGTCCCGCTCCATGTGGACTGACTGTCGGATTGTCGGCGTGAACCGACGGTCCCGCTCAGTGTCGACCGACTGTCGGAGACGTTCCGGCGTGGGCCGACTGTCGGACAGCTCGCCCCCACCTCCTGTCAGCCCGTCCCGCGGCCGTCTCAGCCCGTCCCGCAGCCGTCTCAGCTCGTCCTCGTCCGTCCGGCAGCCGTCTCAGCCCGTCCGGCAGCCGTCTCGTCAGTCCGGCGGCCGTCTCAGCCCGTCCGGCAGCCGTCTCGTCAGTCCGGCGGCCGTCTCGTCCGTCCAGCAGCCGTCTCGTCCGTACGGCAGCCGTCTCAGCCCGTCCGGCAGCCGTCTCAGCCCGTCCGGCAGCCGTCTCGTCAGTCCGGCGGCCGTCTCGTCCGTCCCCCAGCCGTCTCAGCTCGTCCCGCAGCCGTCTCAGCTCGTCCGGCAGCCGCCTCAGCCCGTCCCGCGGCCGTGTCAGCTAGTCCAGCAGCCGTCTCAGTCCGTCCAGCAGCCGTCTCGTCCGTCCAGCAGCCGTCTCGTCCGTCCGGCGGCCGTCTCGTCCGTACGGCAGCCGTCTCAGCCCGTCCCGCGGCCGTGTCAGCTAGTCCAGCAGCCGTCTCAGTCCGTCCAGCAGCCGTCTCGTCCGTCCAGCAGCCGTCTCGTCCGTCCGGCGCCCGTCTCAGTCCGTCCAGCAGCCGTCTCGTCCGTCCGGCGCCCGTCTCAGTCCGTCCCGCGGACGTCTCAGCTCGTCCGGCGGCCGTCTCGTCAGTCCGGCAGCCGTCTCAGCCCGTCCGGCAGCCGTCTCGTCCGTCCGGCAGCTGACGGCCGGCCAAATGAAAACGGACGCCGCCACTCTGGCCTCAAACGGCGGCCGGACCGGCGTACACTCCAGCCAGCGGAAATGCCCGTATCGACGATACTAGAGGGGAAGCTGGGCGGACCGAAGGATCGTGCGAGGGAAAACAATACTATATCCGTCGGTCTCACCTCAATCCGCACGCCATACCTGACACTGCGCTCGACACCGTTCTCACTATACCGTGCGGTCTCGGGCGATTGTATCAGACACCGTACCTGAATACCCGACACCGTGCTCAGGCTCACTATGTATACTGTGAGGTGTCGGACGATTATGCCCGACACTAGAGATGTCAATCGGATACCAACTTTTTGGTATATGTACCGATACCAAACCGATACCAACTTGGTATTTGGTATTTGAATCGTAATGTGTTTGGTATTTTGTTGGTATCATCAATCATGAACCCTCACTAATGTATAAGAGGCTAAGAAATCGGTAAAAAAGTTGGTATTTCCCTCATTTTCCTAGTCGGTTTGGTTTCGGTATTTCGTCGCGGTTTTGGTTGGTATTTGGTTTGGTATCGGTATTCCGAATTTCCGTAATTGACATCACTACCCGACACCGTACCCGAATACCCGACACCGTCCCAAGTACCGTACCCGGCCGTCCGGCGTGCTGTGGCTGCGGCCGACAAATCACCTACACCGGCTAATGAGCTGGCTGCCGGCCGACCTCGCTAATGGATAGGCACGACCGCTGCCCTAATCAGGCGGCCCGCGCAGCCAGGCCTCCCTCCACCCCTACATCACCCTCCCCGGCCGCTCTGGCCACCCCCATGGACCCATGCCTCCCCGAATCCGATTTCTTCTCAGTGCCTACTGGCGTTACTGTGTCTCTTCAGACTTCACAAATAATATTCTGGAACGACTTCAAGCATACGAACGACCCATATCCAATCCATGGCCCTTTACCTACTATGAATCGATGTCATTGTGTTCAATGAACTGCATTCTGCAACGGCACGGACACGGTACAGAAATTCAGCTCGGTGACGCTGCCCCGCCAGCAAAGGTCGTGACTTGTCTGCCTCCGCTGCAGCCTCGGGCCTATTTATACCACTGGGATCGGTCACGACCAATGTCACGGATGCTTGGTCACGGGTCACGGCCAATGTCACGGATAGTGGTCACGGGTCACGACCTCAGCGGTGGAGGCGGTAACGAGACAGCGGGGATGAGAGCGATGGGCGACAGACGCCGACGCCGGAGGTGGGAACTGAGCCTGAGTTGGAGAAGATCTCCGAGTGGAAGGATATCCAATGGAAGTCAGTGACTCAGTAGGCCGTTAGGTCGGCAGCCTGTGGAGACCCTCTCGTGGCGAATGTTTATTTTACAGCGGGGGGGGGGGGGAACCACACGTTATCGAAGGGGAAAGTCTGGCTAGTGGTCAATAAGAAAATGACTCACACGGGTAGAGATGGGCTGCATAGATAAACTCATGCAGGACTTGACAAACATGTCGCGAGTTTATCGACACATAACAGTACATTTACGACATTTGCATTTGCAAACTAAAAGCCGGGGAAAATTTTCAATTCAGGAGACAAAATGCCCTTTTATTTCACGTCACCGCCTACACGGACGCATATAGGCCACGACATAAGAAATGGTCATGAAATGGGACGGGGTTCGCACCAGAAAATAGCTACCTTCTGCAGCTCCCCTGACCATACGCAATCAATCAGGACCGGAGGAGCGGGGACAGGGTGCAGCGACCCACCCGTTGTCACTGTTAACTACTACCGTCCGGTACACCTGAGCTAATAGGACAGCTATTGTGAGCGGTGCTAAACGGCTCCTGGCTGACAGCTCGGCCCATGACAATGATGTGGGAGTGATTCAGCGGCTGCCCCAGAGGGCGTAAAACAATTTGTCCCCAACTATACCCAGTTCTCGGGGACAGGGGTCGGGTATGGAGGGGACGAGGCATAACTGCTGTAGGCCCTAAGTTTGGCAGGGTGTGTGTGGGGGGGGGAGATGTATTTGTATGTTAGACCTCATGGCTCATACAGCCAGTTCTCAGGGGATAAGGCTTGGGAATGGGCGCGGCATATTTTGTTAGGTCATTGATGTATGGGACCGTTGCAAGATGCACGGTACGTCCATGTTTTTTCATCCCGAGCAGCAAGGCACCCCGCAGAGAGTCGGTGAAAGGGAAGTTTTTGCCCGCCGACAAAACACGCCTGTTGTTTGCAGCGCCCTGGCAGCGTCATTGGTGACGGTGACGGCCCGATGGCGAGGATGGGATCGGACTGAGCTGAGAGCGTGAAAATAAACAGGCTCAGGAGGCACGGCGACAGTCGGGACCAGGGGCTCCGGATGCATGACAAGGTCTGCAGAGCTGAGGCATGACGCATGCGGCGGCTATTTAGGAAAACCGGAATCCACACAGGCAAATAATACGTGCATGTCATCGCTACGATCGACTAACTCCGCCCATGAGCGGGGCCCTATTACGCAACTCGCTCTGAAGGTCTCGATCACACCATTCAGGGAGAGAAGTGCACAAGTCTCTGACATTACCCCTCCAGAACCGGTCGCGTACTACGGCCGAGCCCACTACCAAGGTTACACTAGGAGGGCGGGTCCCGTCCATCCCGTCCAACCGGGCTGGCCGCCCCTCCTCTCCTCTGCATGAGCTGTATAATCTCGACTGATTCATGACAGCGCCTCATACACCGGAGCGGCCGCGCGGGCACTCTCCCTTTCCTGCAGAGCGACGCTTTCACTTTCCTCTCTAATCCCGCCATTCACACTGGCCACTGACCCCAGACTGTGAGAGGAGGCGATCGACTTGGCATCCGCTTTCTCGCTCAGTAGACGCCCACAGGCCAACACTCATACGTCGATGTCTCTACTCTTCCTATAACAGTGCCGTGATCTCTTCTCTTCTGTCCTGACATGAATCTCCCCTCCCTCTCCCGACTCGTTTGTACTGACCGCGTCCAACATGCAATGATCTCGCGGCAGGCTTGTAGCTCTCTGCACTGTCCCGTACCCTAGCCCTCCCCTGTGAGTTCGCCGTGCCGAGCATGCAGGGGCTCTCGCGGCAGGCTGCTCCTCCCCACCCCCTCCTAACCTGTCCAGTGTCCTGGTACAGTCCTCTCCCGGTACTCACCGTTCCCAGCATGCAGGGGCTCTCGCGGCAGGCGGCATAGATTGGGTGCGATTTTATAGCAACGGCCGTTTTTTACTGTCTCATTTATCGCCTTTTATCACACGAAGTGTATTGTATTGATGTGTTTTAACCATCACTTTTGTACTGACGTAGACGCTATATAATCCATGTCATGGAAGGTCTTAATACGTTATCTATCTATCTATCTATCTATCTATCTGTTACAGGGAGTTTGAGAAATCCGTGAGTTTGCAAACTCCCTAGTGAGTTTGCAAACTCCCTGACCCATCAGTGAGTTTGCAAACTCACTAGGGAGTTTACAAATTCACTAGGGAGTTTGCAAATTCACTGACCGGTCAGGGAGTTTGAGAAATTTCAGAGTGATTGGGCCAAATAAAAACAAGTGTGCAGCATATGGGTGGCATACGTGCCGTCCGTGATGTTAAAACAAAGGAGGCTAGCTCTAAGGCCTCGCACGCTGACAAAAAGCTTATAGATCATATGCACACCATAAATACCTTTTTTTATTTTAAACTGTTCAGTGATTTACCCATGCATGTACCGCCGCCTTATTTAGTTATACATTTATTTAGTTCACGTCCAAATTAGACCCGTTCCACTCAAGTGTGGCTATTCCAGAGTCAGGCTAAATATATCAAAGTAGAAACAGCTGACTTTTGGTCACTTATGCTAAAGTACAGGCACACGCATCAATTCACGCCCATTCCCACTCCGCCATAGACGTGTCATTGAGAGCCGGCGCTGCTGGCAGCCAGCCCAGCTGCGACTGGCGCACGCTGCTTGTTTGTTTTTGTTTTGTTGGGTTAGGCCCTTTTGGTCTGACAAGACCATTTCAGAGTCGGACGAATGATAGGAATTATAGGGGGAGACATTGGTCTGGGCAGACACCCTATATGCAGAGTCGCCGGGGCTGAGCCCGTCCGAAATGACAGACCGACCAGCCCCCCCAAGCATTCTTTGCACCCGGCTACGGGGTGCGCTCCCTCGGGAGCAGCGGTGCCGCTCCAAGGAAGCAGCCCGCATGAGATAAGGGTGCCTGTCCAGCCCGGAGTGAGGGTTTCGGCGTGGACGAAAAGGATTTCAGTATCCTGATTCCTGAGGATGGAAACGACGGAACGGAGGAGCACGTTGCTCCGAACCTCCCCTTTACATAGCCGCGAGTAGCATTTTTTTCGGAAAAACAATGTAGGATCTGTAAACTTTTTGTCAGCGTGCGACGGTTATATAGGCCGCACCACTAGTCGCTTTGTTTTAACATCACGGACGGCACGTATGCCACCCTCATCTTACACATTTGATTTTATTTGGCCCAATCGCTCTGGAATTTCTCAAACTCCCTGACCGGTCAGTGAGTTTGCAAACTCCCTAGTGAAGTTGCAAACTCCCTAGTGAGTTTGCAAAGTCACTGATGGGTCAGGGAGTTTGCAAACTCACTAGGGAGTTTGCAAACTCACGGATTTCTCAAACTCCCTGTAACATATCTATCTATCTGCTCCTCTCCACCCCACCCCCTAACCTGTCCTGGTACAGTCATCTCCCGGTACTCACCGTGCCGAGCATGCAGGGGCTCTCGCGGCAGGCTGCTCCTCCCCACCCCCTGCTAACCTGTCCTGGTACAGTCCTCTCCCGGTACTCACCGTTCCGAGCATGCAGGGGCTCTCGCGGCAGGCTGCTCCCCCCCCCCCCTGCTAACCTGTCCTGGCACAGTCCTCTCCCGGTACTCACTGTGCCGAGCATGCAGGGGCTCTCGCGGCAGGGTAACGCCTGCTTACCCCGTCCCACACCCTCTTCCCCTCTGAGCTCACCGTGCCGAGCATGCAGGGGCTCTCGCGGCAGGCTGCTCCTCCCCCCCCCTGCTAACCTGTCCTGGTACGGTGCTCTCCCGGTACTCACCGTGCCGAGCATGCAGGGGCTCTCGCGGCAGGCTGCTCCTCCCCACCCCCTGCTAACCTGTCCTGGTACAGTCTTCTCCCGGTATGTACTCACCGTTCCGAGCATGCAGGGGCTCTCGCGGCAGGCTGCTCCTCCCCACCCCCTCCTAACCTGTCCAGTGTCCTGGTACAGTCCTCTCCCGGTACTCACCGTTCCCAGCATGCAGGGGCTCTCGCGGCAGGCTGCTCCTCCCCACCCCCTCCTAACCTGTCCTGGTACAGTCCTCTCCCGGTACTCACCGTTCCGAACATGCAGGGGCTCTCGCGGCAGGCTGCTCCTCCCCAGTCCCCACCCCTGCTAACCTGTCCTGGTACAGTCCTCTCCCGGTACTCACCGTTCCGAGCATGCAGGGGCTCTCGCGGCAGGCGCCGACGCAGCCGAGGAAGCCGACCACGGTCATCAGGATGCCGACGCCCATCAGCAGGTAGGTGCCGCGGTAGTACTCCTCGTTTGTCTGCGTCACTTGCAGGTAGTGGAACGTGTCGAAGAACAGCCACAGCGCCAGGCCCAGCACTGCCAGGCCGATGATCTGCAGAAGGGCAGAGAACGTCGTCAGGCGAGCACAGCACAGGGCGGTGCGAATGGCAACCTCTGTCGCTTGGTACACCTGTCAGTTCGACAAATACCTTATGATCAATTACAAATGCCCAAGTTCCAAAGTCATGCCTTTGTAACTTTTGAAAGGTTTTCGGACTCCAGAAATAGTACAAGTAGACGTTAACGGTTACACAATATGTATAGCAATTCTACGTGTAAATATCAAAATGCCGGTCGTGAGATTTTAAGGATTGCTGTCCAATGTGCAATATGATGATGCAGGCCTCCTGCTCGCTAGCCAAAGCAATAAGCATGCAGAAAATTCGATTACTTGCATATACGAGGGGGTATCGAAAAGTTCTGATCATCACCACGAATGAGATGTGATAGAAATTTGATTTTTTTACATGATGTTCATTACTCCTTTACAAGTCACCACACACGACCGCAAACTTATTGCATCGTTTCTTGAGCTGCCTCAGGCGGTCATTGTAGGACCTTCGCACTGTCCCGTAAATCACTGCTCTATCTCATCGATGACATCATTTCTGTCCTTAAATCACCGGCCATACTGTGGATTCTTCATCTCCCGTAACAATCAAGAGTCAGTTAATACCCGGTCAGGTGAATTTCTTAGATGCGGTAGGATTTAATGTCCACATCATATTCTTCCTTCAATCGCAGCTCAGGACGAATGGGCGGGAGCGCTGTCGGTGCGGATAAAACATCTTTCTTGGGCTTCTTTGCGGCGATTCTGCTTGAGGCCATCTCGCAACTTCTTCAAAAGTGTGCAGTGGTGCTTGCTTATCATTATCCGACCATCATCAAGACAGTCGGTTGACTATCCTACACCAGATCCAGAACACTGATAGCATTGACCTTCCATATCGGCTTCTGCATCTTCGCCTTTTAAGAAGGACAGATGTGCCGTGCTTAAACTTCTTGATCATCTTTTTTGTCTCTGGATCATGCACATAGACCCAGCATTCGTTACAAGTCATCAAATTATCGAAGATGTCTTCAATTTCCTAAAAAAGGCCTAGTTTTGATTTCGAAGGGCCAAGACGCATTTTTCTCTTGAACAAAGTAGACACACGAACTTCTAAGCGAGCTGACTCCTTTATCGTCTGTAGTTCTTCGCTGATAATATTTTCAGGCACTGCCAGCATTGAGACCTTTCTGTTGCACAATCATCTGAAAGGTCACACGACGATCTGTAAGGATGAGGTCCTCCACTTCCTTCACAGTCACCACCTTGTCAGTTACTGGTAGCCACTCACTTCTTGACTCCCCTGCAAGGGCCATGCAACCAAGTTGAAAATTATTTCTTCATTTTCGGTAAGTGCATGAGATGGGCTTTCCTCGCCATAAACTGATTTCACGTTCTTGATGTATTTTCTCAGTGTGATACCGTTTCAAATGCATTAGTTGGATGACGGTTCGGTCCTCAATGGGCCCAATACTCATCTTTTTTACTTTTAAGTCTCTCCCACATAAGATAAAACCACTTCTCAGGATTCTCTTTGCGGGAACATTGTTCTTAAGAACCAAATATAATACCAACCAAAAATCATCAAAATCTGTCTACATCTTCTATGTGATGATCAGAACTTTCCGATACCCCCTCGTACCTGCCCGTCCTCGCTAGTCGCTATCATCGTTTAAATTTTTATGCACAATATTTGAAATACTCGAAATGACTTTAAGAGCTGGTTGTGAAACACTAGAACGCTCAGCTCGCATACAAACATGGGTGACGACACCCAGCAAACAGTGCAGACTACAGAAACACGGCGTTCTTTACGACCGGTCCTCGGCCTCTTTGATGTATCTCGTCCCTCTCAGAGCTCCAGCGCCCGCCGGCAGCCCTCCGATCGCTCTGCGGTCCCATATCGCCCAGCACCGCACGGGTCACGACAGGGGCGGCATTGCCATCAGCTCAGGCGCCACACAACAGGTCGTCGCCTGCCGGCGCACCGTTCGCACGCGACACGCGCCCGCTCGCCACCTCATGAACAGTCGCCGATGTCGTGTCGAGACTCAACACGAGAGTGGGTCGTAGGTGTGTCCGTCCGCGACCCGGGGAGGGGCGATGGAAATGAGCATCATAGCGACCTGACTTAACGTGGCCTGACCCAGCCTGACCCGTCGCGGTCTGGCAATGTCTGACCTGACCCGATCCTATTCGAACTGTAATGACATTATCCCATGTCACGGGCGTAGGAACGTCATGAAAAGTGGGTGGGCCACCCTGTCAAGGGGCCTCCTTTTCCAGGGGGCCTCCTATTTTCAGGGGCCTCCAACTTTTGCCTCGTCCTGCTGGCTGCTTTCAAGTATGACCTCCAAATCTAGCTTCTGAGCTCGGGCAGATGTAACCAGGGGCGTAACCGCTTAAGCGAGCAGTGCGGAAAGTCCGCGCACCATTTTTAAAACTTATTCCCCTCCGATTTTTTTTAGAATCTATTTGCCGCAAACGGCGCATGACCCCTGAAAACCCTTACACAAATGTCTTCCTCGTTTCCCAGGTGCCCCCATTAGCTTCATAGGCGCCCTCTTTGGCATATAAGCGCCCTATGTATAGTCATCAGAGACATCCCTATATGTCCCACAGTCGCCCCGTTGTCGCATACAATGTGCGCTTATCATAGACATAGACGTCTCTCTTTTATGGACACTTGAAGGCGCCTCTCTTTGCCATGCCGGCGCTCCTGTTTCTTATGAATGCACCCCCAGGCCCCATGGCATTGATCAATTGCAGTCTGCAGATCTCTATTGCATGTGGACGCCCATATATGTAGGCTTCAGAGGCGCCCCTCTTTCGCATTGAGGCGCCCCTATGGGCTTCATAGGCGCCCCTCTATTGCACGTAGGTGCCCTACTGTCTCAGAACCGCTCCCCTTTGGCATGCAGACGCCCATCTTTCGTACGGAGGAGCCGCTGTGGTTCTTAGAGATTAGACTTAGAGGTGCTCCCAGACGCAGATGGGGCTCTCGGAGTCGACAGTGTGGGACCTTCAGTCGCTGATGGGTGCCCACCAGATGTGGACCCTCGGAGACGCCGGTATGGGCCCTCAGAGATGCCGGTATGTGGCCCTTAGAGACACCGGTGTGGAACCCTCAGATACTTCAGTGTGAAGCTCTTACAATTGCTGGTGTGGAGCTATGAATGCGCTGGCTTAAATCGCTCAGAGGCCGGTACATGGACATTAGAGCTCAGTGAGAGCTTGTGTGGTGCCTTCAGTGGCCTTGTGGAGCCGTTAGACATCAACATGGTGCTCTCAGGAGCCGGTGAGTCCTCGGAGTCACTGGGGGCCTTCAGAGCTCCGAGATACTGGTGTGGGGCCCTCAGATGTGTCGGTGTGGGTCCTTCAAATGTACCTATAGAGCCTTGAGATGCACAGGTGTGGTGGCCCACAGAGGCGCCGGTGTGGGGCCCCCAGAGCCACCGATATAGGGCCCTAAGAGACACTAGTATGACCCTCAAAGGCGCCGCTGTGTGGCGCTCATAAACACTGGCGTGGAGCCACCACAGGCGGGTAGAGCCGTTAGAGGCCGGAAAGGGCCCTTAGATGCCTACAAGGAGCCTTCAGAAGCCGGCGTGGCATCCTTATGGGGATAAGCGTGTCTACTTAGGAGCCCTTGAGGTGCTCTCATGAGCTCTGTGGGGCCCTACCGAGCCGTAATATGGCCACAGCCAGTTGCCGCCGCATGGCTCTTCGGACTATCATTCTCAGGGGCCTCATCTGCCTAGTTTGAATAGGAGGGCCTCTCAGACCATCAGTCTCATGGACCTCCTCTGACTAGTATAAATAGAAGGGCCTGTTAGACCATCAATCCTAGGGGCCTCCTCTGGTTAGTATAAATAGAAGAGCCTCTCAGACCATTAATCTCAGGGGGCTCCTGTGGACAGTATAAATAAAAGGGCCTCTCAGACCATCAGTCTCGGGGGCCTCCCTAGAAAAGTGTAAATGTGGATAGAGGGCCCCCTCAGATTCATTAGGAGTGGACCTCTCTGACTATCAGTCTCAGGGGCCTCTTGTGGCCAGTATGAATATAAGAGCCTCTCAGACCATCGGTCTCAGGGGCCTCTTCTGACTAGTGTGGATAGAGGGCCCTCCCAGACCACCGCTTTCAGGGGCCTCCAGTGGCCAGTTATATGAACAGAAGGGCCTCACAGCCATCAGCCTCAGGGGCCTCTTCTGACTGGTGTGAATATGAGGGCCTCTCATACATCAGTCTCAGGGGCCTCCTCTGCCTAGTGTGAATATAAGGGCTTCCCAGGCCATCAGTCTCAGGGGACTCTTCTGGCTGGTGCCGGATTGAGGGACCTCCTAAACCGAAAGTTTTGGGGGTCTCCTCTGGCCAGTATGAATAGAAGGGCCTCTCAGTCCATCAGTCTCATGGGCCTCTTCTGCCTGGTGTGATTATAAGGGCCTCTCAGGTCATCAGTCTCAGGGGCCTCCTCTGACTACAGTGTAGATGGATAGGCCTCCCAGACCATCAATCTCAGGGGCCTCATCTGACTATTGCGGATAGAGGGGCCTCCTCTGACTAGTGAGGGTAGGGGCCTCGGCTAGACCGCCAGTGTCAGGGGCCTATTCTGACTAGTGTGGATGGAGGGGCCTCCCAGACCACCAGTCTCAGACACCTGACTAGTGTGGATAGAGGGGCCTCCCAGACTGCCAGTGTCAGGGGCCTCCGGAGACCAGTGTGGATATTGGGGCCTCCTCAGATCCACTAGGGCCTCTCAGGCCATCAGTCTCAGGGGCTTCGACTGACAAGTATGAATAGAGGGCCTCCTTGGATCCATCACGGCCCCTTTGGAGTCCGTGCGTGGGGATTCGTGGAACTTATTTTTACGGAGTTTGTTTATTCTGGAAGGTGACGACGTCCTCTCAAATCGAGACGAGGGGCCTCGAGTAAAAAGTGGGTGGGCCAAAACACATGGTTGGCCCCCCCACCTCGAAAAGTGGGTGGGCACTTGCCCACCTGG